CTCACAAGGATGAAGCTTTGTCAAAATTCAAAATTTTTGTCTCCTTGTATGCTCAAAAGATCAAAACTATCAAAAGTGATAATGGGGGGGAATTCATCTCTGAAGATTTTGAAACTTTTTGCAATGAGTCATGAATCAATCATACCTTTTCTGCTCCGAGAACTCCACAACAAAATGGAGTTGTGGAGAGAAAGAATAGGACTCTTATAGAATGTGCTAGGACTATGCTTCTTGAGTTCAATCTTCCAAAATTCTTTTGGGCTGAAGTTGTGAGTACTGCTTGTTATGTGATCAATCGTGTTCTGATCAGAAAGGGTCTAAATAGAACTCCCTATGAGATTTTCAAAGACAAAATCCCCAATCTTGCTTATTTTCACCCTTTTGGGTGTCCTTGTCATGTCCTAAACACTAAAGATAAACTGGGAAAATTTGATGCTAAATCTGATAAGGCTATCTTTTTGGGATATTCCATAAAAGGTCAAGCCTATCGTATCTATAACAAACGTACTCAGAAAGTAGAAGAATCTGTTCATGTTGTTTTTAATGATTCTAACCCTGTTGATAAAGAATCTGAACAAGAATTACAGGCATATGATCTTCTGGAAATGATGCATACAAATTCTGAAGGGACTTGTGAAATCGCCTTGGAAGAAGTCTCAAAAACTGATGCCAGTGGCAGTCATACTACTGCTGAAACTGAAGAAGTACCCTCTACTGCCACCGCAACAACACCACCTCACATTCAAAAATGGCATCCAGCTGAGCAAATCATTGGTAACATAAATGATGGACTTCGAACTAGAGGTAAGTATGTTCCTGGACAGTATGCTTATGTTTCTCAGCTTGAACCTAAGAACTATAAAGAAGCTATTAAGGATGATGAATGGTTTTTCGCTATGATTGATGAATTAACTCAATTTAAGTCTCTTCATGTTTGGGATCTCGTCCCTAGACCCTTAAACCAATCAGTAATTGGAACTAAATGGGTTTTTAGGAATAAATCTGATGAAACAGGGGTCATAATTCGTAACAAAGCTAGATAAGTTGCTCAAGGATATTCACAAGAGGAAGGGGTTGACTATGATGAAACTTTTGCCCCTGTTGCTAGGATAGAATCTATTCGTTTATTATGTGCCTATGCGTGCTATATGGGTTTTCCTCTCTATCAAATGGACGTGAAGAGTGCTTTTCTAAATGGTGATATCCAGGAGGAGGTTTATGTTTCACAACCTCCTGGTTTTGAAGATCATCAACACCCTAACCATGTTTATAAACTCAGAAAAGCCTTGTATGGTTTGAAACAAGCCCCAAGGGCTTGGTATGACAGGCTTACTCTGTTTCTTCTTCAACATGGTTTTGTTCAAGGGTCTGTTGATAAAACTCTTTTTATTAAACACAAATCTGATGATATGCTTATTGTTCAGATTTATGTGGATGATATTGTGTTTGGTGCAACCTGTAAAGATATGTGTTCTGAGTTCTGCAACTCCATGAAAGAGGATTTTGAGATGAGTATGATGGGGGAACTTCAATTTTTCCTCGGACTCCAAATCAAACAAGCAAAATCTGGTACTTTCATAAGTCAGACTAAATACATAGCTTCCATGCTGAGTAAATTTGATATGATGAGTCTCAATTCCAGTCCTACTCCTATGGCTATGAATTTGAAGCTTGACAAAGATGAGACTGGCACACCAGTTGATGAATCTAAATACAGAGGAATGATTGGTTCTTTGCTTTATCTCACTGCTAGTCGCCCTGATATTCAACACAGTGTATGTTTATGTGCTCGTTTCCAATCAGCTCCCAAAGAGAGTCACATGTCTGCAGTCAAACGCATATTTAGATACCTGAAAGGTACCATGGACATTGGACTATGGTATCCTAAACATGATCTGTTTGATCTTGTTGGGTACAGTGACTCAGACTTTGCTGGGAGTCTGACTGATAGAAGAAGTACCTCTGGTAGTTGTCAGTTTGTGGGAACATCTCTAGTTTCCTGGTCCTGTAAAAAACAAGGGGCAGTTGCTCTTTCCACGGCTGAAGCAGAGTACATTGCTGCTGGAAGCACTTGTACTCAACTTCTATGGTTAAAAAGCCAATTACAGGACTATGGCATCACTATAACTAGTATTCCCTTACTGTGTGACAACACAAGTGCTATCTGCATGTCTAAAAATCCTGTGCAACACTCACGTACTAAACATATTGAAATTAAATACCACTTTATACGTGATCTTGTCAGCACAGGAATCATAAATCTCCAATACATTAATACTGAATTTCAGCTGGCAGATCTCTTTACCAAACCTTTATCCACTGATCGATTTAACTTCCTTTGCTATGAGATCGGGCTGCGATCTCTTTCCTCCATTACTACTGCAAATGAAGTTTAGCTCTTGCTGGATTTCCTTGTCTGTTGTATTTTGATTATTCCTCAGTTCTTTGATTTTATCTTTGGTATCTTTACTTTCCTTCTCTTGTTCTGGTTGATTGAGTGTTTTTCCTTTTTATGGTTTGGTTCGAGTCTTTATATTGTTCAGTCTCTGTAGTTTATCTTTGTGTATCCTGTGAGTCGTATCCTCCTTCTGTGTCAGTCATGGTTTATGATTTTGCCTTGACCTACTCTGGGGCACATTTCCATGAGCCTGTTGTTGCAAACTATCATAGACACACTCAGTCCTTTGCAAATCGCCCCATAGATCCCCCGACCATTGTTCACCTCCCTGAGTTTGTGCCTCTAGGTCTAGATGTGATGCCTTTTGTCTATAATCTGAGCTGGGAATTTCTCCTAATGCCAGATTTCACCTCCTCTCTCATCTGTCCTGAGGCTATCAGGGTCTTCTTCTCAAATCTGAGGTACTTTGGTCTCCAAACTCGGACTATCAGCTCTCTTGTTCATGGCCATATGATGACCCTACCACTCTCTGCCATCAGCCGTCTCCTCAATATTCCTGCTTTTGGGGAAGCCCTAGCTCATCCTGATGAACTGCCTTTATTCAACTTTGATATTACTACTGAGGCTTTTCATCTTACTGGTCATGAACCAGATCAAGATGGTACCTTCTCCTCTGGTCTATTAAGCCCTGCACTACAAGCTTTTCACTTTATTCTGACCAGAGTGTTCCTACCTCGTCCCATACTTCTTGATCGTGTTCTTCCCCTTGACATGTGGATTCTAGCTCATGTTGTGGCTGCTGTACCTTTGGACTTCTCTCATCTACTGTTTGGAGCCATCCTTCCTTTCATTGATCATAACTTCCATGCACCTCTCCCTTTTGGGGCGTTGATTACTTGTCTGTTGCTCGCCCTGCCTCTGGATCTCTCAGCTTATCACACTGAATCTCCTTCCCTTTGGCTTCATGCGAATGATGTTCTAGATGAAATTGGGATTGCGATTGAGGGGGAGAGACCCTTCATACATAGGCTCAACAGTGACTCAGAGGACGATGAGGTTGATGCTGATTCAGGAAATAAGACTCTTGGTTCTCTACCGTCTTTTGCATCTGCTCTACAAGCTCTCTATGGGTCTGATTCTGAATCAGACTCTCCTGCTGCATTTCAGCCTGATGTAACATCATCTAGTGATAGTTCTTATCCTTGATCCTCTTAAGATTCTAGTTTGGCTGTCTGTTCAGGGAAGTCTTGTGTTCGTGTCTTCTGTCCTCAGTCTGAGATGGTGTCTCTTTTGAGGTCGTATGTGAATGTTTGGTCGTATGTGTTGGTTTGAATAATTGCTGAGTTATGTCGAACTTCTTTCAGTCAATAAAGTATCCGTGTTTGGATCATTTCCCAGCTATTGTTCAGTACCTTGTGGAAAGCTGCTTGTTATGTATGCAGGGTTAAGGCAATCGACAATCCTCCAACTTAGGGGGAGATTGTTGAACTAAGCAGGACAAATCAAGTTGGAGATTGTCTACTTTTATTGTTGCTTTCTTGCAGCTCAATCACAGGAACCTCAAAAGGAAACTGCCTGTCATTAGCAACTTACCTTCTCTTACTCTAACGGCTAGTCTATTGGAGAGACTATATATGCCTGAGTAACTGCTGCTGTTCGAACTTACTTTTGTAAGAGCTTCTGTGGTAAAGGGCTGAGCTCTGGGATTGAAAAAGGGATTGGCAAAAGGTTGAGGCATAGGTTCAACTTTTGCCAAGGCAGAAACAGATCGGAGGCTGATCTGGGTTTTCAATTCCTTCTTCTTATTTCGATTCTTGCTTTGTGGTTATTTCTGTTCGCAAATTTCATAGTTAATAAAAGGCCTCCCAGACCATATTCTGGGACGTGGAAGTAGACCATTGCACAAGGGCGAACCACGTTAAAAATGTCCTGTGTTCTTTAAGCTTCTCTGCTCTTTACCTTCTGCAATTTCGTGTGCTTACCTTGAGGAACTCTGTTCCTTGCTCTGTTTATGTTGAAGTGAAGCAGAGTCTGGTGACTCGTGGTTGAGGAGAAGAAAAGTTGGGCCTGAAGCCCATTTTCTTGTACTTAGTGTTTTTGCTCGGGCCCGTTATTTTTCGGCCCACTTCATCCGAGTATTAGATCGAGATTCATCTTCCCTTCCTTTGACTCTCGATCTTCTCTCTAAAATCGGGTGTTCTTCTTGAACCCTAATTCCCAGAATTGCTCTCAAATCTTCTCTACAGGTATTATCAATACAAAATAAATTACGTTTGCCATTAATAATTAAATATATAAATTAGATTTTATTGTTTAATTCAGGGCAAAGAGACTAAGCAAAGAGTCTTAAGTTGCCTATAGCTAACATCTCAAGTTTTTGTAATTGGTAATCTTTAATTTGATGAATTTGAGGTTGAGAGACGACTAATACTAGCGTGAAATAGTGATGTAATGATCTATATATAATTAAAATGACACTTTTGGTGGTTGAGGGTCGCGTAGTAGTGAATGAGAGAGTCTAGTTGAGAGGATAAAATACAAACTAGCTTATATTTCGGTATTTCGGTATATACCGATCTCAATCCCGTAATCCCTAATATCGAATAACAATGGAAACTCAATCCCAATCCCAATCCCAATCCCACAAAATAATACGTGTATTCGGTAATACCAAATATCAACAAATTCGATACGGTATTCGGCATATTCCAAATACCGGTACCAAACTTCCAGCCCTAGTTACAAGTCAACTCACTCTTGGAGTAAGCTTGATGAGCATATTCCCATCCAGGAACAAAAATCCCACAGAATTGGAGCCGTACACACCATTGCTATCAAATCAATGCATTGCCCAAACACTAGGCACCACTAAAACTGAGAAAGACTATTACTTTCTCTCCTCTGGAGTGGGAAAGAAAGCAGAGCCCTCACTTTTCCTCTCCAGTCTTATATTGACAGAGATATAAGTTGGTGGTCCTGTGTTTTCACCCCTCGTACAAGATTCTCCCACGCTGAGTCCAAAACTGAAGTAAAAAAAAAAAAAAAAAGCTTAAAGCCAAAGCCATAGCCATTTTCTCCAGACATTCCCTATTGCCTCTGGTACTATGCAACTTGGATGTAAGCTATGGGCAATGGCACAATATATAGAGAATAAGTCGATTTTCCTTTCTAGGGAATGCCCTGTAGCCTCATATATATAAGCGCCAGTGGAGACTATCAAATGAGCATATTATCGCATCCCAGCCTTCCACTCAAAATCCACCACACTCTGTTTCTGATTCACCCTCCCACCCCTTCAAAATTCTGTGTTTTCCTTCCTGGCTCTGTTGTCTTTGGCCTCCTCATGGTCCCTTCCCTTCAATGCTTACATCCATGTCTCTCTTCTCCACACCTGACATCCCACCCTCTCCAGCCATTAGTCCCACCACTTCATCATCATCTTCATCTTCTTCTTCTTCTTCTTCATGCCAACATCAAGAGGAATCCATCAATTTCGATTTCAATGTCATGGTCTTTGTGGGGGCGATGTTATGCGCCTTGATCTGTGCTCTGGGTCTAAACTCCATGCTCCAATGTGTCCTCAGCTGCACAGCCCGTGCCTTGGCTCGTCGTCGTGATCCCGGCCTGAAGAAGAAGGAAGTGGTAGCTCTCCCTACTTCTACCTACACCGTGGGTGGTGGAGATTCTTCCTCTGCTTCAGGTTGTGCCATTTGCCTTGCAGAATTCCTGGAAGGGGACAGCATAAGACTCCTTCCTCAATGTAACCATCGCTTCCATGTAGGCTGCATCGACAGGTGGCTGCTAGCTCACTCCTCTTGCCCTACTTGCAGACACAGGCTCAACAAGTCTATGCCTTCTCTTGATCAGATCGTTTCTTCTGCCTAGGCTGACGTTATGCCTTTAGCCAAAGTTATTAGTTGCTTTTTCTTCCTTGGTAGTGGGATTTTCTTTCTCTGTGACTCATCTTCCTAATTGTCTCCCTTCTTTTCTTCGTCATTATGTGTTGATAGTGAATAAAAGCACAATGGGAAAAGGGTTGGTTCCACTTCCACAGTGTACGAACCATAACAATCTGGTACAATTGAGGTGACTACTAAGCACATATGGAGGAACAATGACACATGACTTGAAAAGACAACCAACTATGTCCTAGGATTAGATGGTGTTTGTAAGGAATCCCAGGAAATGCGGGGTGATTCAGCTTCGCCGATATATTGCTAAGGTCCATGGACGAAAAGGGCTTTAAATGCTCAATGCCAATCAACATTCAAGGGAAAGAGTCCCTAAAGGAACAAGAACCCAGCAAACAAAATCAGATGCGTTTTAGAATCGGCGAAAGAGTGACTGTATCAACATGATAGGGCCTGTCATTTTACGTGGAATTTGCTAGAAAACAAGATACCATCCATCATTCGAGCAGTATTTCACACTTCACACAAACTGTCATACCCATTTCACGCATTTAACATTGAAAGCTGTGTGCCAAACTATATCATTGCACATTCAAACTAGGCAACTTTCTGGTTGCTACACAAACGAATAAAAATCAAGGAGAAGGACAAGAACAAAAAGAAGGTTCATCAGTCTAGTAGTTTGCTTTTACCTGCGTTTATGCAGGACACAACAAGAGACTATCATTCGGGAGAATACTAATGTAGGTGGGGGAGTTCTTCATTCATCATTTACCCTTCTCATCGGAAGAGTCTTCCTCTACAGAGTCATCCTCCTCATAATCATCATAGTAATACTCGTCATCAGAATCATCATCTGTGACACCTTCTTTGTCGTATATTATTGCCATCAGTTGTTGCTTCGTCAATCGCTCTTTGATGGCTGTTCCCTGTTACAAACCCAAATGGCGAAATGAAGATGAGTAGCCATCAGTATACAGGATGGGATATGCCTAGCAAGCGCAAAGATGCATGGCGTGTGTTTTGGACGATTTTTCCACGAGCTTTTAAATTACGAACCAAACACTACAGTTTTTTTCCAAACCTAGTGTTTGTTAAAGCTCTAGCAAGCAACTCTTCATTTAAACAGAGCCTCAAATTATTATTTCACATGGAGATGCAGAGACAAGGAAACTTTGTTACCATTTTATGGCATCCTTCCTCAAACATTTCAAGAAAGCCAGCAACCAATCTATCTGCATTCTCAACCCATTCATTCCGATGAACACGAGCAGTTTTCGTAACTACTTGTATCTACAAAAAAGACGAGGTAAAAAAAAATATCATGAGCATTCCAAAAAGCATTTCCATCATCCACAACAGACACATTAGCTGTCAAAATAACACTCTTCGCACCATTCACTTACTAAGATAATATTCCACATACCTTTTCTTCCACTTTTTCTCGGTGCCTCTTCACATTCTCCTGCAGCTTTTTAAGACCCATATTTACCCTAAGACGTTTTTCCTATATAAGAACACAGGGAAGTATCAGGTATAAGTAGTATCAGAAACAAACTGGTCACAATAGCGAGTGGTAGAAGATAGCATACCTTCACATAGCTAACACCGAGATCTTTTCTTGTATATCCACGTGCCAAATTACGCGTCACATATTCATTGTAATCCTTCACAATCCTCATTATGAGATCTGATGTGGAGATCCCGTCGGCTCGTTTAGTTTCTTTGAACTTTCCAGCTTTCTTAACCTGTAAACGTATGATGGCGAATGAGATAAACTAATCTATCAAGACGCCACTAGATTATGACACGTGAAACGCTGGATACTGCTGGTTGCTGCCACTTATGTTTGGACGAATTGGAAAAGTAACTCATTTGATCCTGAAAATCAGTAAGCTTTGTAAAATCGAAATATATTGAACCCAGTAAATACTATGGAAGACTCATGTATTTGTGGATGAAAAATAGTGAGAACCAGTTCTTGAAATAGTTTTTGTCCCGGCTTCAAAGGAAAAATATTCAAAATAGTATTGGGCCATGACCAATAAGAAACCCCATAACTAAATAGAGTAGAAACTGCAGGAGTCCAGCAAAAACATCAAACACGGAGAAGTCAACAAGCAAACGGCCACACAGTTCGGGTTAGCTTTTTGTTCCTTTTTCAATGAACTAAAGGAAATTGGACGACTGATTGCCATACACAATATAAAAGATGAAAACCCATCAGAGGTATGAGAATTCTGAGCCAGTCGAGCAAATCAGGAGTCAACCACCACAATGGCAGGATTGCACTCAGATTCAAGGATAAAAGAGGTGTTTGATGTGGCTTTCTTCAGGAAATAATTTGCTATAAAACAGCTAAATACACACAATGACAACAGTAGCGGCCTTCTGGAGCAAGACATCTACCCAACGAAAGGGGCGATGAGCTAGGAATGGTTAAAATATCATTTTCACCCGGACTCTTACAATCTAAACGTCATTGCATTTGTTGCAAATACAATGAGCATGCATACCTAGTCAACTCAAATGTATCTATCACCGCCATTAATTTAAACTAAGTTAAACTTTCAACTAAAACCTACAGTTTAATAAATGATCAATTCTTATAGAAGCAAAGAATTGCATCTACTTCGCTAAAAGTGGGGGACATAACATTTACTAAACACCCCCCAAAATACTAAGACGAATTCTAGAACAGATTACACTATGTAGTCTGTAGCTTCAAATTAAGCTGCACATAAGTCAGATAACAGGTTTTTGTTGCTTCTCAGGTCAGGCGCAACCATTTAGAAACATTCAAGCTAAAGGCAGGGCCGGGTTCATGAATGATAAAACGAAATTAATAAAGCACTTACAAAATCATAGACATCATTCGAAGCACCACTTGCATCAGCATAGCTGCACATATAGGGAAGACCAAAGGAAAATTAGTTAATGTGAGCTTAGGGTCTTTGATAAGGCACATATAATACAAACTCAAGATATAAAAGTAGTTGGTACATTCTGACAGAAATACACTTGCAGTTGCAAAACTAGGAACCCCGAGAACTTAGGTATTACTCTGGCAGCTAACCGGAACTTACATACAAGTAATGCAGTTTCATTGATGGAATTCCATGATTTAGTTGAAAAGCAAGTTTGACTCGGATTGACTTACGGAAGGGCGTCGTGAGCCACATAATCTATCTGATGTTTATCCAGGAACTCTGCTGTGACTACCCATGGTGCATCAGGGATGACCTCATCCACCCACCTGCAACAATCATATAATCGAACGAAGTTTTGATTAACTCGAGAACCGATGCTTCGTATCTTCAACAGTGGAGTAATATAGGAAGCAAATACAAGAAAGGGTATCAGAAAGACAAACTTGCAGTGTCGTAGAGACTCGTAGCGCTCTTTATCAGTCATGACAGTTTTACCCTTAAATTGGTGTGTGAGTTCATCATTGCAGCATCCCACCAACAGGTAAGTATTGGGGAACCTACATCCCAATTCCAAAAGACAAAAAGCTTAGCAAACATCACCTATAGACAAGTGAGGAGATGCTTCTAAGCATTACTGCTGAACTAGTACTTCAAAAATTGGGAGTTAGAACGCATCTCAGGATCATCTGATTAATTCATCTTGCTTTAAAACCCTAAACACGAATCGGCTACTAATCCTCCCTTCCATTGCCCTGGAACCACAATTCCATCAATTCATAACATAAGGACCACAATTCCCCCATGAGAATTTCAGCCTGGAACCTGATAAGGAATTGCTTGTGATCCAAAAAAGCAAGCACCTTTTTTCTGACCATAGCCCGAACCCATATGACAAAATTGAATCAAGTAGCTAGTGGAGTCTCCAACATAGAAAAACATTCGAAACTGAAAAAACCTGTAAGCCATGGAAAAGTTTCGAACTTGGCAAGAGAAGCAGGGAATTGAGAGAGTGAGGGTGAAAGGTAAGTTTGGAGGGTGTTACAGTTTCTTGGCTTGCTCAAGGGAACGGGCATGGCCGTAGTGGAAGAGATCGTAGATGCCATCGGCGTAGACTCGAACGGGGCGGTCAGTGGGTGGGTCTTGTTGGGCTTGCTCTCGCACCTCCGTCGTCATCTTTGGCTATTTGGGGCCTTTCTCTCTGCGTCTCTGCAAGCAACAAATGCTTTGCTTGGAAGACCACGCAGGAAGGAAGAAGAAATTCTTCTTTTCTCGTTTCTTCAGATTATTATTTAATAATTGTCTTTTTTTCTCCTTTCCCCAGAATCTAGAGAACTAGGAGTAAAGTACTGCAAGTGCAAGGCAGCCGGAGCCAGACGGTGTCGTTCCCGCGTTTGTTAACTAATTTTAGACGCTGAATTAACGCGAATCTAGAGTAGAATATCGAATCTTCCTTTCCCTCTGCCTCGGTAATTGAAACAGTGTTTGTGCTGCCGCTGGCTAGGCCTGTCGGTTCAGGTCGGGTCGGGTAACCGAACCCAAAAACCGTGAAAACCGAAAAACCGAACCCGCCCCCTCACAAACCGAAACCAAACCCGAAATGCACTTCTGTGGGTTTCGGGTACTGGAACCCGAAATTGATGTTGGCGGGTTTGATTCGGTACGGGTGAAACCGAAACCAAACCAGCCTGAGTTTTTTTTTTTTTTTTTAGTTTTGTGATTTGAATTTTACATTGTAGAAACAATTTTATTCTTATTATTTGTACATTCTTATTTTACCATTATGTTTAATTTTATGGGACATGGACAGTATAAAACTAATATTTACATATTAGTTTATTATTAAAATATTAATTAATTATTAAAATATTTAATTTTATGTATTCTATAACTATAGACATACTATTAACTATTAAAGAGTATTAGTAGTTTAGAGACAAAGTAAAATACTTAAACATATTTTATACGTAACTTAATCATATCTTATTTAATTGTGGATTTTCGTATAATTAAATGTTTTAGTAATACCATAGGTCCAAAATTGAAGGTATATCAACTATCATATGCAAAAAAATGTTTGGTGTTTGACGCAAAATTATAAATAATTTTGTTCAACATAAAATACGACAATCATAGATGAGATTATCTTCAACTCGTAATTAAACACATTAGTTTTACAATTCTCAAATGATAACATCCAAGTAAAATAAAAATTCATCCACCATACAAGATAAATACTACTACCATTATCACTCCTCATCAGGCTCTACATCTACATAAGTCTCATCATTCTCATCGGAATTGTTGTCGACATAGTCTTCTTCCACTTGTGACATAGTAGGACTCGAGACCAAAACATGGGTAGCAGGAGAGCTTCCACTGGGTCCTGCACGAGAGCTTCCACTAGGTCCTGCAGGTGCACTTGCACTCCGAGCTTGAAAAGCTACATATACTGGATAACATAAACAATAACAAATTGTTAGAATATGACTTGATCAAGATAATAAATATAAGAATAAAGAGAAAGATTAAAACCTTACCATTTTGAAATACCACTTCATCACCCTCATCTTCTCCATCAGCCACCAACTCGGAGTCTGAAGATCTTATCCAATCTTCACAACAAATCAACGCCTCCACAACTTCAGGGGATAAGGAGGTCCTAAACGAATCTAAAACTCGACCTCCTGTGCTGAATGCCGACTCAGAAGCAATAGTGGAAATAGGAACGGCAAGAATATCCCTAGCCATCTCAGAAATAGTAGGATATTTCATCCCACTTGGCGACCACCATCCCAAGATGTCAAATTTGTATTCATCCTCTTCTGAACCCACAAATGCTCGTGTAACCACTTCATCATCCTCCTCCTCCTCAAGGTACCTATCAAACTCAGATTTTGAACTTTTTCTGGTTCCTTTCAGAATGGCATCTCTTTTCATTTTCCTGAAATCACCCCAAATCTTCCCTTTCTTCTTCCCATCCCCACTTCCACTAGGTTCTTGCACATCTTCCTGAATCACAATGGGAGAACTGCCAGGAAGTCCGAGCCTATGCTTGTAATGGTCAAACAGAAGACGCATTTCATCTTTCACCTCTTCGACCAAAGCTTTACCCCTGCTCTCACCATACACCTTTTTCAAAGCTTGTTCAAGATATTCAACTTTCCGCCTAGGATCTAATATGACTGCCATATAACACAACCGATTCATCTTGGAATTCTCCAACTCATCTTCAAACCAATACTTTGCAAGTTTGGACTTGATTCTCTCAGCCATGCAAGACACCTCAAAATCTATACCATCAGCCCACTCAGATATCATAGTATACATTTCACATACCTCATCAAACAAGAGGTGTAAAGTCACATATGAAGTCCCAGAAACTCGAACAGTCAAATCATAGAATAGCTTCAGATAATCAATCAACCGTCCCACTCTAGACCAATCATCAGAAGTCGTGATACCAAGACTTTCATTTCCATATTTTTTTTCATTGAGATGTTTCTTGAATTTCTTATCATTTCTAGCTAATGTCTGAAATGCTTTCTCAAATGGCTTTGCAGATTCCAACATCAGATACGTTGAGTTCCACCTTGTAGCTACATCCAACGAAACAAATTTCTTCGAAGCTATCTTTTCAAACTCAATGCAATCTTTAAATTTTCTGCTCCTAGCTGGTGTAGATTTAACCCACTTCACAGACTCTCTCACTCGCTCCACAGATTTACCAGTTTCTTTAAGCCCATCCTTCACAGCCAAATTAATAATGTGAGCCACACACCTCATCTGCAGATACTTGCCATCCAAAATATCTGATCCCCACTCTTTCAACTGTTCCCTCATATGCATAGCAACCACATCATTGACACTAGCATTGTCCATAGTTATACAAAACACCTTCCTAATGCCCCACTCCACCAAACAACTAGCCAACTGTTTTCCAATTTCACTTCTAGAATGTTTTGTAACTTGGACAAAGTTAATAATTCTTTTATGCAATTTCCAATCTCTACCAATGAAATGAGCAGTAATGCACATATAATTGAGATTGGACAAAGAAGTCCAAGTATCAGTGGTGAGCGATACCATCCCTAAACACTTAGTCTTGAAATAGTCTTTCAGCAACTCTCTATTTTCAAAGAACACCTTGATACAATCCTCTCTAACGGTCTGACGACTAGGTAACACAAACATTGGACAAACACGAGCCATAAACCGTTTGAACCCTTCATGTTCAACATACCTAAATGGTAATTCATCTATGATAATCATCTCCGCTAAAGCTCTCCTAGCATCAATCTGATCGAATTTCCAAGTCCCAAGAGTGTGTACCTGGCCTCCAGAAGATGATAGATGGTCGACTATCAGCTCACCCTTTTGTATCTTTTCCAAACAACTATCTTTATGATTCCGCAGAGTAGAAGTCCCATATTTAGTGGGAGCCATACGAACACCATTGCAATAAATGCATCTTGCTTTGTCCAACCCATCCTTCTTAAAACGCTTGAAGTGTGGCCAAACGTCAGACTTTTCTTTCCTTTTTCTTGAAATTGTCTCCTCATCTATTGTTTGAGCAGGAGGTACATTGGTGGTACCGGTAGACGGTGCAGGAGCAGGATCGGAAGACGGTGCAGAAGACGGTGCAGGAGCAGGAATGCTGGTACTCTTAGAGCGTCCTCCACGTCTAGGACGAGAAGCCGATGGTGCCTCACTTCCCCTGTCAAAATGAAAAGTTGAGTTGAGTATAATTCATTAACTATACCGAGGAAATTTGTGCAAAACAGCTGAAAGCAAAAATCATGAACATGATTTGGCTTTGCTGACTTTTTTTTTGCACCTCAAGTCACCATGTGACAGTGGGCCATATCCATAACCATTTGATCAAGTATAATTTGCATCCATCATTAGCATATAATTAGTTTGAAATTAGGATTTCACCATTATTCTTATATTCCAATTGCGAGGCCTGCCTTGTGAAAAAAAAACACAAAAGCCTGTTGGTTTGGACAATTCATTCTTCCTCTCTATATGAAGCCCACAAAGCCCAATGCAAAGCTCCCCCTCCTCCCATCTCTATCTCCCTCACCTTCTCACCATCAAAAGTTTCCATCTTTTCCTCATTCAACCCTTTAAAGTTTAAACCCACCCAAATGGAGGACAATTGCAGCCCTCATTCTGCCATAGGCTGGGGATCCTTCTACCAGGACGAGGTAATTCACTTAAATCAACTTACCACTCTTTTGGATTCGGTTAATGCGGTTTAATTGACTAAATTGCTTAATTAGCAGGTCATAGAGGAGTTCAAACAGTATGTTCTCTACACATCAGAGCTGGAGACCACAATTGTGTCAGCAAGAGAAGAGACCACAATTCTGTCTTTCTTTGCTTCTTTGTGATTGCTTTAGGAGTTGATGGAGAAGGGTGGCTTTATTAAAGGGAATATGGCTACAAAGAAAGAAAGAAAGAAAGAAGCCAGCTTGTGAATTGTGCAGGGGGTGTAAAGTTCATAGTCCAGGCAGGCAACCCAGCAAGTTAATACAATTAGGAACCCAGCAAGTTATGATTTTATCAACAACCCAGCAAGCAACCCCTCAAAATCAACCCAGCAAACAACCCAGCAAGTTCATAGTCCGACCCAATCCATGAATGAATAAGTAATAAAACGCGGCCTAGTTTTGGTGTTTCTTTTACTTCAGCTACTTCTGCCATGCTCTGTCATGCTCCTTGTATTTACAAGTAACTAGGGTTTCAAGATAATTGTTTGAGACTCCGACTTCATGAACATTCAAACTCGATTCACATCTGATTCCATATAATGACAAGTAGAGATAGGTAAACTTTTACCCACACATGACCAAACATCAGTAGAGCAACATCCTTATTCACAAACACTTAACAACGAGGTAAACCATCCATACAGATCAAATAATCAGAATATCATGAGTGAACCAAGATGCATTCTGCATCGGTAACAACAGAGTCAACACTGAATGAAAGGAGTTTACTGGGATTCCATGTTCGAACCCGCCGTGGGTCTCGAAGGTGACGCCCGGTCGGGGGAGAGTGAAGGTCCTGCCGATTGAAGGGTTCCAGAGGGCGATTGGTGAAGGGAGTAGGGGTTTTCCAGATTGGGGCCGAAACAGAGGCGGAGGAGGAACAGGGGTTGCAGACTTGCA